GAGTCTGAGCTGCATAGTGAGACCCTGTATCAAATGCATACATACATACATACATACATACATACATACATACATAAAAATATTCTACTTATAGGACTGGGAGAATGGCTGTGATATTGCCAGTGGTTAACATGCGTGAAGCCCTAGGTCTCCAACCCCAGAGAAACAAAAATTCTATTTCCATAGAACTTTTTAAGACAACTGCTACATAAATGGGATACAGCTTCGCAGTAATATACCCCTTCCAAAATGAAGATCAGAATTCTGGGTGCTAACCTCTTGGCATACTTCGGCCTCGCTTTTGCCCCCACCTTCAAGCCCCTCCAAAAAAAAAAAAAAATCCTAAGCACTGAGGTCAGACACAGAGGTGATTGGACAAAGCTAACTTGTAAGAAACACTGTGGTTGGTGTTAGGACAGGACATTCTACCAGCAGTACCTTTTCCAACTATTTGTTGTTTAATTTCTAAAAGCTATTATAGGAATATAACTCCCTTCTATGTCATTTCCATTGCAAGACACTTTTCTTAAGTATGTAGTCTTTGGGGAAAACAAATGATACATTGTAGCAACTGAGTCTTTCTCATATGATGCATAGCCTTACCCTGGTGCTTAGGGTTTCTAATCCTTTTGACCATTGGTGCTGCCTTTCCTGCCTTGAAATTGGCTGCAGTTCATTTCCTAAAACAAGTCATAAGTCAAGGATAAATGTTCAGTTAGTTTTTTAATTAGAAGATCCCTTTCCTTTTAGTTATTTCACTGTGAATAATGTCATTAACAAATAATATTTGTGGAACAAATATAAGGAAAATAAAAGATATTTTCTGCCATGTACAGAGATAAAGGAGATAGAGTTCAAATCATTAGGCAAATTTCTCTGAGATAATAAAAAGAATTATTCATTTTTATTTCAGCTGACCCTGAATATCTAAATACCTCCTACTATAACAAATATTTCACAGTGCTTTTGCTATCATGCAATAAATCTCAGTAAAATGATCTACTTGCAAGATAGCGAAGTCACTGTTAATAAAAAGGAGGGAAATATATATATAGGAGGAGTAAAAGTAATTCATAATAAGATAAATGTATATTTCAATATTTAAAGTACTCTGGCAGATATACATGAGAAAGCATAATAAAACTAGCCAGACACTTGACCCTGCATCTCGAATCACCATGAATTTGACAGCTACCATTGCAGGGACATGCAGGTGTGCTCACTGGCGGCTGAATTACCGTGGGCAATGGTACTTCACATCCATTTTCTCCCAGGGAAAGCCAGTCCTGGTAGTCGTCTGAAAAATACCAAGTGCACAATATCTTCAACACAAGGTAGTTGCACTCCTAGAAAATTCAGTCTATATGAAAATTGTACAAAAAGTACTTTGAGTGTATTTGCAGGATATATTCAAATTATAAGCTTATATAATTATGAATAAGGTTTTCAACTACATGAATACCTATGGAACATTGAAGAACCATGTGGACTGCAAAACACTTCATCACGCTGTACTGCCCTGCCAATAACGGGATGTCCACCCATCCCTGACCTTTTCCCACTCAATGCCAATAGCCTCTTCCAATCACTTAGCCCCAAAAAGTATTCCTACCAATGTCTAAATAGCTCCAAGGGTCACTATGCTCCTAACATTGCTTGGGCCTGAACAAAGCCACATTTTCCTAATGAAATACGCAAGTTGATTTTATAGCTTAGGAAACGGAATTCACCCCAGAGTGAACTGTCCAGCTAGAATACATAAGGCTACCAATGCAAAGGGACACAGACAGCATTCCCTGAGGACTTGCCAGTAGTTAATGTGGGAGAACAGTTTACCGCATACTTTACATGTGCCTTTCTAGCCTAGGAAAATGGGGATTTCAAAAGTGAAGAGAAGTTCACAGTCCACATGCATGGGAACTTTTTGTTTGTGTTTTTGTTTTTGTTTTTCAGTACCAGGGATTGAACTCAGGACCTTGCACTTGCCAGGAAAGCACTTATTCTACTGAGCTATCTCCCTGGCCACTTGGGAACTTTTGATAAGGATCATGTTGTGGTAAAGGAAAGATCATACACCCTCTGCAAAGCTATGTTCATCGCTTTTAAATAACATAGTGCTAAATGCACTTCTTTTCCTCTTACTGCCATCATTGTAATTCATTAACAAATGGATGTGTTTTTATTATATTTCAATCTTTTATATCCTTTTATAAGCATATAATTTAATAATGCCTTAGTGTTTCTATATTAATGGAACAAATAGCACTACTATTAACTTCCTCTAAAGTGATGTATTTTTTAAGTACTAAAAAGCTACTCTGAGAAGTTGCCATTCATTGAGCAAAGTCATGGGTAGATTTTCATATTAATTTGTAAATATTTTCATTGGACTTTGTCCTTGAATTTCTAAAATGGCCTGCAAACATGTTTGAAATATGTACATGCAGTCCAAAATGGGCTTGCAATTATCCAACTTCCAAATGCTATTTTTAAAATAATTAAAAATATATTTCCAAAGCTTAGAAAAGATATTTCCTATACAATATTCCTGTTGTCCTTCGTCATAGAGTTCTGCACATGCACACACATGCATCCTTCTCTGCAGTTCAGCTGTTTGTCTGCCCTGCTCATTACCTTTCCTTGTCCCCTTCCTCTGACAGAGTCGCTCTTCTCATTATTTATACTCTTAAACTGTGAGGGTTCGTGCTGAGAGCCGGCGCAGGTACTCAGTTACCTCTGGGATTCTGGTCTTTTCAGCCTAGACCTAATCGAGCAGAGAGTCATCCTAAGCTAAAACAAAAAAGCTTTTGTAGTAATTTCATCACCAGGGAAATTTGTTCATCCTTCAGAAAGACGATCACCAGGAAAGAAGAAATAAAGGAGTTAAAATTGCTCCAGACCATTGACTTCTGAAGTCCCACTAGATTCTTACGTTGAATTGGTTTTCAAGGGGTGGGTGGAATTATAAGAGGGCTTCCCTGAGAAGGCTCACAAATTGATCATAGCCTTGGTGACACTCGTGGGGGTAAGTGGTACCACTGTGCAGGAAATGCCGCGTGTGGCTGGAAGCTTGGATGGGGACAATTAGCACCTCATCCCCCCCCCCTTTTGGGGGAGCTGACTTTTTTGGAGGTGAGTGTTCTCTGAGAATGCTCTTTCAAAGAAGAAAATAGTTGATTTTTTAAAATAATTTATTGTTATAAGTCCAATGTAGTAGTTGTTGCTAATGTAAAACTAGGGTTGGAAGCACTGCAGGAAAACACAGACATACTCCATAAACCTCCCCAGAAACTGGGCTTCCTTCTAGATATACCTACAGAATTTTGTTTAAAGTAGGCAGGCCCAAGGGTATCTAAGACTGCTCACTTATTTTTGAAAAATATAAGTCCTTCCACATTCAAAAGAATCCTTTAAGACTATCATTTGACTAAAGCAATAAAAATAATAATAAAATATCTGGATGCTCCACCTGGATGTCTTAAATAATTTGAAATTGCATGCACCCATTGATGGAGATGATAGATAGATAGATAGATAGATAAATAGATAGATAGATGATAGGTTTCTTGTGTAATTGTGAGAAAAGAGGCAATTTAGCGTTACTGAGATAAGCCTACACTCACCCTTCCTTCCCATCAAATAATTTCAATTTTGCCTGAAATGCATAAGCAAATAGAGAAATGACCTCATTTTTTTGGTCTGAGTACGGTAGTGTTGGGGCTATTTCTCAAGGGTGTGACTTCAGTATTGGATCTGAGTTCCGAAGGCATGCTCATGAGGCCGCTCAGAGGAGAGGAGGACAGGGCAGTATGAAGGGATAGGATCTCTCGCAGGCGCAGCATCCACAGATAAGTCAACAGGCACAGACTGTAGCTTTCTGCTCTCTGGCCCACCGACCGAAGCCATAGCATCCTTATTGTTGTAACTCCCAGATTGTGATACTGTCACAAAACTGTTGCTAGGCAACAAATGTGGTTACCAGGTCTCAGCGAATAGCTGAAGGGGAACGCAAAGTGTTGCACCATTGTAGAGTAACCATAGCAATGACCTACTATTACAGACTAGAAAATTATCATTAACAATGTTAAAGTATCAGATGGAGGCCCTGAATTGGGGAGACTTCTAAGCAATGTCTCTGCATAATTGAGTGATATAGGAAGATATCTCAACTGTTTCAAGGCTATTCATTCATTATATCTATGGAAGAGTCTTTGTAATTATTTTTGAATTTAAAAAAAAACTTCTGAAACTGTTGCTAGCATAAGTAATCAAACACAGACTGATGTATTTCTTCATCTGTCTTCATGCCTGTATCTGTGTTATCAGGATTGCCTGTCTCACACTAAAGGTAGATTTGATTTGAAAATAGTATACATTAATATTTAATCAAGGCCACAAAAGAAGCTGCAGTAAAATAAAGTAGCCCTGTGTAAACTGACAGCTAACTGGAGTTTTTAAAAGTGCAGTAACTACTACCACAAGAGGAGACCAAAATGCCTTTATTAGTTGAATCTTTTTTTAGCGTCTCTAAATCTGCCCCCCAATATCAGTAAATACATAAATAAATGTCGCATGCTAGGATGTTGCACGCATACTCTCTTCTGCGGCCCCCACGACCTCGGCGAGGCTACAAAGTCCAACATCACAGCCCATGGGCGGGGCCATACCCCGGTCGCAGCTCGCCAACCCGGCCACTGGGTGCTGGCGGGTGGGCGTGGACGCGGATCCCGCGCGCCGAGGAAGCCAATCCGGTGCGCGCCGCCGGGAGTGGGAGGGGTCGCGAAGGGGCGGGGCCCGCGCGGTCTCCCCCATTGGCCCGCGGGGACCCGGCCTCGCCTCGCGACCTCCGGGGCAGGTCCGGTCGCGCCCTCGCACAGGGATTGCCAGGGGATCGGATGGGCCAGACTCCGGGGCCAAGGTGGGCGGCGCCCGTGGAGTCGGGCGGCGGGGCACCACCGGAAGGCTGCTCCTAACCGCTGTGTGTCTGTCTCTCCCCGCAGGCACCGACCGTCACGAGCTGACCTCTTGGAAGAGCTTCCCGTCCATTTTCAAATTCTTTACCGAAGCGGCGGAGGCCAAGAGCAGCGCGGCGAAGCCGGCAGCCACGCGCCGCTCGCAGCGGACGCAGCCCGAGGAGCTGTGAACCGCCGGACCGGCGTGGCCTCATTAGCTTGCTTTCCTCCCCGAGCGCGGGTCGCGAGTATTCGTCCCGGTAGCGTTTTGCATCATTTCTAGATGAGTGCAGCTGTCAAAGCAATGAGGCTGCGGCGGCCGCGCTCCCCAGCCGCGCGCGATGAAGCCGACTGCGGGCCGAGCCCGGTCCTTCCGCCCGCGCCCGGCTGCGCGGCCGAGCGGCGAGCTAGGGCTTCCCAGACTCCCTGAAGGTATCCTAGCACTCGCGCCCCGTCTAACGTACTCTCAATCTCCGTCTCTCCACCCCCACCCCCAGTTTGTCCGTCTGTCCGGCTGTCTCTGCCTCTCTCTTTTCCTCCCCTCCCCCCCCAGGAAATGCCAAATTTAAATTCACAACATGAATGCCACGATGCACTGTGGAGTACTTTTAGGAGTGCAAATTGTTCTCTCCCTAAAGATCTATTTTTATTTCCAGACCAGAAGAAAAACTTTGCATAAAAGTTTTATAAGATACCGAATCTACATGACTGCTGAAAAGCTTCGCCAATTGAATATGAGGCTGTTCGCAAGTCTCGCATTTCAGAAGACATTGTCTAAATCCAGACATAACGAGCAGATCTTTTAAGGATAGATGTGAAAGGTCCCATTTTCAACGAAATTTCCAATTTTATCATCAGAATTGACTTTGCTTTTTAAATATGCACAGTGTTGAGTGGCGCTGTAATTTGGATAGCACACTTTAGTTTTACTTTTGGCGTATTACTATGGAGAAGAGTTAGGGTGGGTGTGGTGGTGGCTGTTGTTAATCCTTACTAGAAAAATCTACTTTGAATCCTTTTAGGGATAGAATTTTTTTTTTATTGTTATCGGGAAAATGAAACTATGTATTCCGCAGCCTTTTTCTTCTGAAAGGCTAAGCAGGGCTATAATGGTTCTTTCAGTTTTATTCTCCAAGGGGAAGAGAGAGGCTTGGTAGGATAGATTTTCACATCCAAGTCCAATAGTGTAATTTTTAGTACTCCACTTCCTCTGTAAGGTTTTTTGCCCTACAGCATCAACCGTTGAGTATTTTAATCCAGCTCAGATCTGGCCAACACTGTGAAATACAAGAGATAAAATAAGTCAAGTTTTTGCTGACTTTCAAAATTTAAATAATAAATTTGACATCAGTTTTTAATTACTTGAATTTAATTATCTTGTGAAGATTGTTTCTAATAAAATTCCAAATTCAATATTTTTCATCTTTTTTTAAAGTGTATGCAACAATTGATATACCTGCCTTATCTGAGGACATGATAAAATGTACCCAAAATGACAGGATTCTCAGAAAAATAACTTGGAATCAACCGCCTCACAAGTAAATGTTTTTATATGATTAACCAATTTCACTGTTTTAAAACATAATATCTTATGCATTCATTCATTAGTTTTATAATTTGAATAATGGCAGAGGAAAGTGGTTTTTCGCAGTGGTCATGTCTGTGTATCTTTTGATGTTACTTAGGCAGAAACAACAGAAAAGGAAAAGTCAAAACGGCGTTTTATCCAGCTTCTGGGTGGTTGAAGATGTGGAAGGCCAACAATGTCAGGCACACCTGTCTGTGATATTGACCCTTTTTATCTGATCTTTCTTATTTTAAAAGTACAAGTAGGCTGTAAAGTGATCATATCTTCCAGTGAGAGGATATGAGAATTGATGTGGATTGAGTATATTTTTCCAAGTGTTATAAATTGTATGGTGTTTTCAATATCTGAAAGTGTTCACATAAAATTAATTTTGTAGTGTTTACAAGAAAAAAAAAAACACTTGTGCAGTGCTAAATTTGTGAAGCTTCTGCAGCTGAAGAAAGTAAATATGCTCAGCCTATAAACCAAATGACTCCTATTTCTCTCTCCAATTTTCTCACCTCTTTTTAAAATCCATTACTTGTAACTAGATAAAACTAGATAAAAAATCACTGTTTAATTACCTTTAATACTTTAAAACTACTGGATTGTAAGGCCTTGTTTAACTATGTATAGAGAGCTATTTGCAAACTTAAGTTGTGTAAATGTAATTTCTACTTGTAGATCTAAGCTGTGGCAACCCAGAGGGAGCTAGGGAAACTATTCCAGACCACCAGCTGTTAATGGATCAGGTTCCTAGGAAAGGAGGATTTATTTTATTTTTATTTTTTTGACTTGTTGATTGTGGGCTGGTGGTATAAGTGTGGTAAGACTGTTCACTTGTATCTTTCTACAGCAGTGGCGAACAGCAGATCCTCCCTTCCTGCTCAGGGGCAGCCAGCGGTAGCATTCCCCTTCTGGTCTCCTCCTGTGCTGGTTTCCTTGGAAAGGTCCTTATGTGTTTAGAGGCTTAAAGTTTGGGTATGAGTGTTTTATTTCAATTATATACTTAGGTTTTAGAGCAAGTGGAATGAGAAGGGAGTGGTTGACAAATAAAAGTTCAAAATAGTTTGGTTGAAATTTAAAAACCAAATAAGCTTTGGTGCTTGCTAAAGGTACCTAATCAAGCAGTTCTTCAAGGTTTTCATGGATATTTAAGAGGTGGACCATCTGCTTGTAATAATTACTCTTTCTCTGATTCCTGCCTTGTGATTCAATTGAGATTACATTCTTGTTTATATATCAAAAAGCAGAATTAAAGCACAGGGGTTTCCTATATATCTTATATATCTGTTTATCATTTTAAAATAAAAAGTTTTCCCAATAAGCAACTGTGTATTATTCTTGTTCAGAAATTCTTTTATTCACAAAGTGCATACAATTCTTAAAGGCTGGACTATAAAAGGAATTATGGGACAGTATTCATCAACCTTTAAGCTTTATTAGTGCTGTGATTATTGCTATGAGGTAATATCCAAATGTCTCCTTTATCATAATTTGGCTCTTATTTTTCACAAAGCTACCATTTTAAGTAAGTTGTTTTTAATTCCTAAACATGTCCTTAGCAAGGAAATTTCAACAGCACATCATCAGTAGGTAAATGTGTTTGCCAAAGCAAGTCTAGTGAGATTATATTGCTCTCAAACTCTTATAGGTAGGTCCTTGATGTACTGTATTCAATCTGAAGTTAACTTGCATTTATTTTACAGCTATTCCTTTCTTTAATATATGTAATTCCTTTGAGAAAGTGTGGGTGACTAGATACATTAACTGTATGATCAGTCCTAATAGTTTATTTTTTCATGTTTCTTTGGATTATCTGGAGCTCTAATCCAGACGTGTGTGATGTCTCTTGTTAATTCATAGTTTTATATTGTAACCTGATGGGTTTCTCTTAGTGGTTTAGGAAGGATTACTATTACAGCAAGTATAAAAATTTCTCAAAAACTTTCCCCATGATTCTGTGGGAAAAAAATCTTTAAATAGATGTGAGGCATTCTCATCTTTGAAATATGGGTGGCAAAGAGGGGATAATGGAGATGGTGATTTTATGATTACTTATTAGGGACTGTAATAATATAAAATAAAAGACACCAGGAGGTACTTCCTTTCAAAAATTGAATACTTTCCTTCCTTCCTTGTATGGAATGACTGAGTGGGAGTCTCTTGAATTGTTCGTCTTCCTTTTATCTAATATTCTATTAATCTCCAAAAAGATCAGTTTGAGTCTGAGAAAGGGTTTTTAATCAACACTTCACAGAGCTTAGAGCTACCCTACCTAAAGCATCAGCTTTGTTAGGCGGTTTGAGATTTAAAGCATTGCAACTGTCATGCACTGTACTAAAGTAAAGAATGTACACCAAGTGGAAGATGTTGAAAAGAGGGAAATAGCACAAAGTCGATTAACAGAGTTTCAAGAATAGAAGCAGTCATCAAAGCATTCCAGCATTTATCTCAAAATCTATGTAGGGTTAAAAAAAAAAAAAAGCAACAATGATAGTTTTAAACCTAACACTTAAGAGGGATGAATGTTGATTTAATTGATTCATTTGGATCGATGTTTTTAAAGTTTCACACCACTGATCTTTCATGTAGTGATGTCTTTAGCAGTCAGTGGTCTGACATGCGCCTTCTCAGATTTCATCAGTGGGACTCTCCATGACATCTGAAATTATGCAACAGCCTGTGCGCTGGTAAATTTGGAGTTGGGAGGCCTTGATGCCTAACTGCATGATTAGATTGAAGAACACTTATTAATTCTTAGTACAAGGATTTTATAAAAGTAATAACTGTAAGTGAACCACAAAAGGTAAAGAATTGCTAAATAGAAGAAAGACAACCTGAAAGTTTAACGCTTAAGGAGACATCACAGAGTGACCAAGTGTTTTTGCCTTGAATGTAAAAGCTTCAAAATGGAATTTGGACTCAATGCATGAGACCTTCCAGGCAACTTTTCCCAGTCTCTTCCCTTGAGCTTGTGGGAAAGCTTTCATTATATTCTTTGGATTATTGAAATTGAGTTCTGTTTAAAACACATGAAATGTTTCTAGAAAGAAATCTAGAGAGGTCCTATATCTTACCAGACTATTCAGCTTTTCTTCCTTAGTGATTACATGGGGTAGTATGAGAAATCATCATAGATAAAATAATGTTGAACTGTACTTTGTGACCAGCCTGCAGTACCAATACAAAGGATCTGAACTGAAAAGACAACCAACACCCCAAGAATGATATGTCTCTTTTTAAAGTTTACAATTTGAATAATGAACTTGGATAGAAACTTGGCAGGAAAATAAACCATGGCACCATCACACCACCAACCATTTTCACTTTTCTGTCCAATTTCAGAGTGCATGTGTTTGTGAGTATTTCACTAGATCAGTGACAGCTCTTTATTTGCATAATTATATGCTCTGGTCTGAAGAGAAAACTAACCCCCAAATTTCATGGGTCACCAAACTGCAACAATCAATGTTTTATCACGTATGCTAAGCAAAATCTAAGAAGCTATATGAAGTTTCTTGAGGAGTTTTTACTCCTCAGAAAATTAAAGAGTTTTCCTCTCCTGAATAGATTCAAAATCTTTCCAAGTTCTTTGTAACTGAATTCTGTTTGAAGGCAAAACTAGAGATTAACATGTAGATCTGGACTGTGGACTCACTAGCCTTATTTCAAAGTGGCTTAAGAGCAGCATTTTTGGTGCACTAAACTTTTAAATTTCCAAATACTGTCCTTCATGCTATGAGGAAAATTTATTTGTCAAATTATGATTAGCCAAATGAAATCTATATTAATCACCATTGAATGTAGAGTTCATTTCCTCCTTCAAAGTAACTCAGGGTTTTTTAAAAAGATGTAATATTAAACTGTGCATATAAGCACATGTGTGTATGTACTTCACACACATGCATATCTATCTGTGGTATATATGTATCCTTTCCTGCCCATTTCACTTGAAACACACAGATGACATGAAAATTATGTACATGCTTATTTGATGTCTGTGACACGGGTGCTCATATGTTGGTCGCTATGGATGTTTTTAAAACTTTTCTGCTAATTAAATTTTCAAGTTCAAACTCTGTAAGACAGTGTCGTAAATAGTTTTAAATGCCTCAAGTCATTTGCATCTGTAAATTCTCTACTTGTGTGTAATGTGTATTTATGTGTGAGATTGACTTTATTTTATTAAAGAAAATTGATTTAAACTGTTGATGTCTTCAATTTGTAATCTGCCAAATTTGAAATCTACTAGAACAAAGTGGCACATTTAGTGTTTTTTTCTTTTCTTTCTTTTTTCTTTCTTTCTTTTTTTTTTTTTTTTTTGAAGTTATTAAAATTCTGGAAAATATCCCCTTGCCTAGATTCTTAAGGAATACACAAGGTGTATCATCTGATGCTGCAAAAAGACCTAGACATGCCTTTTATGTAAAAGCACATGATGGAATGCCTTTTATTTGAAGTGATCTGTCAGTTTTTGCATCAGACAATTTACTGTCATACAGAAAAAAAATTAAAAACTGTGAAGGGAAAATATAAGAATTGCATAGTTTGGAAGTATTTTATTCTCTGTCTGAAAAAAGAATGAGAGGTGTTTTGGGGTCAAGCATCAGAAATTTTCCATAATGTTCCTATTATTTCAGGTGAAAAGAAAATACATTTCTCCCAAGTTTTCAATTAAAGTTAAATTACAAATGAAAAACTTTTTTTTGATCTTGCAACCTAAAAACATTAACCTCCTCCTGTCTTTAACACTACCTAAGATCACCACACCTCACCTTTGCTGCTGTTCTTTTGAAATGTTCCCCTAGTTATATCCCCTCTAACACCCTCCCTTACTGACCACTGCCCCAGAAATTGTTGGTACAGGAGGTCTTGGGTTCCTCTAGCTGAAAATTCCTCAAAATTGAATCTGTAAAAACAAATAAATCCAAGTTTAGCATTTTTGTCAAAATGAGTTGGTAACCAAATGTGTCAAAGTACAACTATTATATTTAGGACTATGTTCCTCTAAGTTAGAATCTGTTGCATTATATTTTACATTATAAACTCTTCTAAGGAAAGTAATGGGCAATATTTATACCTACATTTCCCATTCTATTTGACCTTTGTGAGAACATTGCTTAGAATATCAAATAGGGCTCTTGGTTTTCTACTCTGCTAGAAATACAGAAAAAACTAAGTTCCCACTGAAGTCCACACTTGAGAGGACTGACCCTACACCTAAAAGGCCCAGGTCTTTCCTTTTTATCATTTTCATTTATTTTTTGCTCAAGTACCACCTAATCCCACTGTGTCTGCAATGGCTATCTCTGATCCAGTTCGTCTTCATGTACCTCCAAAGAATATTTCAAAGCCTTATTTTCTTTTTTTTAACCTTAACAATGAAATAAATGGCCTTTTTCCAATAAATGTTTTCACTTTCTCTGGATACTTGGATAATCAGGATTTAGCAACTGAAGAAATAGAAATATTGATGGTTTGTTGTGGTGGTTTTGAGTTGGGTTTGTTTTTTGTTGTTGTTGGGTTTTTTTTTTTTTTTCCTCTTGCTTTGCTTCAGTAAATTACTTAATATTGTCCCCTGGAATAACCAGCGCTAAAAATAACCCTAGCACAGAGTATCACAATTTGGCTTTCATACGGTTTTGAAAGAAAACCATTAAAATTGCATTGATCTTACAAATATTGATCTAGTGCTTGATATCAAATATCAAATGAGATGCTGTCAGTGGCTGCTGATCATCGTGTCAGCTGTTTGAATTCATGGTCTCTTCCTTCATTGTCACATGGATTCAAGTTGCTAAGGCTAAGTAAGATTTTCATAATGAAAACAATTAAGATCAATTTTTCCCTGTTCTTCACATTTCTGGTTTGACCACACATAGGTAACAGTCTGCCTGTCTGTCACACAATGGGGGGGGGGCGTGCTACAAGACTGCAACTCCTTACTAACTAGGTTATGTGTCTATTTAGTTCTCTGTCCTAATTTTGAAAATTTTTTTTACCTATATCCTACTTTCTCTCTGATTACCTGCTTTTTTGTTTTTTTTTTTTTTTTTCTTTTAAGGAATCAAATTTTTTTCTAAAACTACAGCTGTTTGGACAGCGTTTTAGAACTTAGACTGAGTTCTTAGCCATTTCTTAACCTATAGATGCACTACAGTATAGAACCTGCCTCTTTTACTTGGGTTGACAAACCTGTAGCTATATAATTTGGCAAAGAATACAGTTTAAAGAATTATTTAGGCAAAACTGAAAAGTATATGTAGTACTTTCTCAACAAACTCGTGTTATCTAGCTCTATTTCTGATCAAATCCAGAAATAGTTTCCCTTGGATATGTTTAGAATATCAAATCATTCTCTTTTTTTCACCTTTATCTTCATTTTGTATATCAACAATTGCTGATTGTATTACCTTGAAATATGGTACACTGTAAAAAAGAATCTACCTATGATGACCATATAACACTGCTGTCTAAGCAATGAGTGAGAAATAAAGAATAGAATCCTTCTAGAATACTGTTGAAATTGTACAGCCGCGCTGGTATTTTGGACATTGCAAGACAGAATAAAAGTCAGCCGGACTTGGTGTCCCTTTCCCTTTGACTACCTGAGCTCAGTCTGGGGCGAGCAAAGGGAAGGGAAGGGAAGCCGCGCTCTCCCCAGCACCATGGACAGCTCCCGGCGCTCCCCCCCTTCCCGCTCCTGGCTAGAACCCCAAAGTCGGCCTCGCCAGATTTCCTTCTCTGGCCACTCCCCCCACCGTAGAAAACTGACTCCTGAAATCTTAGGATCTGAGCCCAAAACGACAGTGAATTTAACGAGCACGTAGTTTGTGGGTGGTGAATTTGGCTTGCTCCGTGCCCGGTGTTAACCAGAGCACCCAAAGTTGACACACCATTCCCTGCGCATCTCCCCGAACTGCATTGTCTGCACCCAAAGCAGCGCCACTCTCAGACACTTTTATGGTAAGGGTCTTCCCTCCTCCAACTTTAACTTTTCTCTGATCAACTTTTCACCACCACCCTTTTGGATGACCAGATCAGGAAGGACTGACTTAAGAGGTCTACCAGGACCAGGAGCGTATTCTGCCCGAGTTCATGATCTCCTTGCAGAGACGCACCAAACTCCACGGGCCCTAAATCCCACGGCTCTGTGGGGACTGGAGCTGTCAGACAGCTCCGGTGCGCCCTGCACTCACTGCCTGACTGGTTCATTGCCTCCCGGGAGAAGGGGCTCCGCGGCTTTCTCGCCTGGACGGCGGGCGGCACGCTGAAATCCCTGACCGCAACTTCTGCGACTGCAGCCATAGGGGCGGGCAGGCTTCGGATCCGCGGCTCTTTCTGTGGCGACCTCAACTCTTAGGTGTGCGTTTCCGCACATCTCCCTGTTTGGCTTTCTTTTTTTTACTGCCATGATAAGCAAAGTACAATCAAGGCAGATGCTTGCTGTAGGGTGTCTTTTTCTTTAATCGATCGTCCTAGCAACTCTTCAGCTGCCGCACGTAAGACAAGACTAGTTTTTAAATATTTCAAATTGCTCTTTTTTTTGTCTTGAAACTTGTCCCATTTGTTGGACTTTGAGTGAAATCTAGCCTCTCTCACCATCACTTACTCTGCTCATCCACTCTCTCGAATTAACACTGGGGACAAAAAAAAAAAAAAAAATTGCACTTAGAGCAAGTAAGATGCCAAAAACAAATTTCTGTTAAACACTGATTGTACAAAAACAATTTTAAACCAACTTAATCTGAACTTCTTTGGAACAAGTGAAAGAAAAAGCAAGAAAACGAAGACCCTGGTATCTTAAGTTAAGGGGTTTCTTTTCTAGCCGATATCCTCAATAAACCGATTCCAAAATTATATCTGTGTAGCAGTATGGGTTACACATGGATAATTTCAGGTTGAAACTATTATCTGCAGTAATATGACAATGAAAATGTTCAGTGAGTTCCACAGTTTAGGAGCAATTTACCCACCAAAAGCTGTGTTTTTCCATCCTTTAAAACACACAAATGTTTCATTATATCTTTCAGTGAAAAGCTATAAGCACCACTTTCTCCTGCTGCGCTGCTTACACAAACTTCTTGCCCTTTCCTAGTCTGCAAAGTCACTCCCCAAATCCTTCTTCCTGAAGATATTTTTTACCCTCATAGCTTGGTCATTCTTTTGGTGTCAGGTCGTTTTGTCCAAACACTAAGCCAAATCCATGCTGCAACTAGAGAGACTTTGCCAAGCTGGCAGCTATTTAAACTAACGGAAGAACCATCCTACAGGGACTGGGGAAAACTCACTTTAGCTAATGCAATATAGCAGCTAATATGGGCAAAGTTTTGAAGGGGACCTGTTGAATGATAGTCACTCGGAGGATAGCATATTCTAGACTAGGGTGTATCTCCCACTATCTGAAATTGAAATATCCCCATATGTCTGTGTGTCTTGGGTTAGTATAATTTTCAGAAGCTCATCTAATGAGCTGAACTTCCCTTTGTGGATAAATGAAACAATTCATATTATCTTTCTGGAGTTCAGGAACAAGAAAAGGGAATCAGGTGAAGGGAAGGACTTGAGATTTTTCCTTTGTGGGGTGAGGGAGCTATATAGATTTGGGGTGAACTAGGTAGCACCTACTGCCTGGGTGTAGAGGATTTGAGGTCAGTCAGATGGGGGGGATATCTCTTTCATGAGAAAGTTTCCATATGACTGGAAGGGAAGGACTTGTTAAAATATTGATTTAATTAATTTAATTCCTGATCTGGTTTCAGAATGACTTTTCTAGATTATTTTAAATTCAGAAACTCCCACCACTTTTGCCAAGACCACTTTTGCCAGAGAAAAGCTTGAAGAAAGGAAGTATGAGAAGCTCACTTTTCCATGTAATAAATCAAAACATTGACGATATCCACCAGGTCTCCCTGAACCCCCCTGCATGAAACTTCATATCACCCTAAAGCATATACAGCCATTTTTTTTCTTAGAATTCCAGCTTTCTTTTAAGCCCAATCCTACTCTTTTGTAGGGCTGCTACTGTCCTATCCACTTTTTCCTTTCAAAGTCTTTTAAAATAAGTTTCCCTGTCTCTTGCCACTTGTCAACGTCAAATATACAGCGCCTAGTTAAAGAAATGCATGTACTTAGATAAGAACAGGTTTCTTGGAAATCAGTAATCTCTATAAACATTTGCC